CTCTCTCTATATATATATATATATATATATATACACACCAAAGATATTAGAGTCACGGCTCAAATAAAAAAGCTTCAACCTACGAACCCCGCGTCTGGACCGATCGATCACCTCACAACTAAACTCTCTAGTTAACCGTGTCAAAAGACACCAAGCAAGATCGTCATAAGGTCGAACACTTCAAATGACCAACACATACTTCAAAGGGCACAGACGTCACTCAAGCGATTGTCCCAGTCGGTTGACTTCAAACCAGTCGACCAGCCAATTATCGTCATTATTGAAATTCAAATTATAATGCACAAATGACATAATACTTCATACAATCAATTAGAACCTTAATGATTTTAAAAATGTTTTCTATTTTCTATATTTTAAAATATTTTCTGTAATTGTACAAAACATGTCTTTATAAGTACAGAATAAAAATATGAATAAATGGAACTTTTACCTCTTCTCTATTCTCTCTACGGAAATTGCAGACTTATTCTACACTCTCTCTTTCTTTCTCTCCTTCACTTGGCTCTAACTCTCGAGGCGTGATTGTTGACCTCACTTTTGATAAGATCTAGTCTTCTTTTTTTAGGAGCTTAGACTCTAGTCATAGGACTTTCATATTGACTATCCTAGAGGACCTAGAGTACTAGTGATGGAACCCACCTCCTTAGAAGTTCAAAGCCACTTCTTTGCTCTCTCTGGAGTTTCATATGTATGGTTTTAACCTCTAGCACTTAGAAGATTGGAACCAATATGAGGAAGCTTAAAGAGAGTTCTCATAGGACTTGCAAGCCTTAAGGTAGCCTTGGGTGGCTTGGTCTTGGTCACAAATTTGAGCTCATCACAATTCCTCACATATCCTAACATTACCAATCACTTATACTTGCCCTTTTTCACGGTCTCTTTTTGAAATTCATGTGGGTGGTCCCAATACCTTAGCCTTTGGCTAGGAGGGTCTGGACCAACATGTTGAAGACCTGAAATGAGCTCTATTGGGTCTTATAGCCTCAAGGGGGATTTCCATGGTTTGCACGTGTGCAATCAATTTCAATTCCACTGAAACATCCCACTTTGGCCTTCTACCCCAATTTTCTCCAGTTTTACCAAAATGCCCATGAACCATAAAATTCTCAAGATTACCCAAACCCTCAATTCTTTACCAAAAATCATATTGAACTACTTCAAACTACCTAAATTTTCCGAATACCCCCAAAATTATCAAAATTATCAAAATTATCAAAAGACCCTCTACACCACCAAAAATTACCAAAATACCTCCAATACCCTAAAAATTGCCAAAATCTACAAAATCTTTCCAAACCTCACCAAAACAAATTCTAACTACCTCATGTTCCCAATTGCACCCAAAATCCTATAAATCGACCAAAATTAGCCAAAATTCCCAAATTACCCCTAAATCACTAAAGTCCCCAAATCACTCCCAATTTCCACCAAATTCATTTCAAACTCACCCAATTTCAAATTCTAACTAAATATCAACATATTTAAGCCCAATTTAAACTAAATTCAAGCCCAATTCTACTCAATTCCAAACCCAAATTTCATGCACAAGTTAACTACCCTAAATTGACCCTAAAACCAAATTTCACCAAATTGAGCCATATGATTATTTCATTTCCACAAAATTTGTTTTCCAAATTCCTCATGATATTTTTCAAGACCAATTTGAGCCTTCAATTAGTCTAAATCCAAGCCCAAGTCAAGCTTAAGCTCAATTTCAAGCCAAAACTCTAATTTTAAGCCTAATCCTAATTCCAACCCAAACCTTTTGATTAATCCAAACCCTAATTGCCACAGTCATGCCTAAGACCCTGAGATGCTAATCACATCACCAAGCGGGCCCAGAGCTTCTGCCATAGACCAATGGTCCTTCAAATCATGGAAACCCCTCTAAATTTATGTGACTCACCCATGTCATCACTTAATTAAACCTTAAAGCTAATCACCATTAAACCTTCTCATTCCCTCTCTGACTCAGCTAGCCGCCACCCTTGGCTTGACCGGCCACCCTAGTGTCCGAGAAACCCAAAACCGAGAAAGGTGTCCATGGCATAAACCCAAATTCTCACCTATCCTATGTGGCAATTTCCAATTGGTCAGTTGCGTCGAACTCCCCTCCACCTCAGCTTATTTGCATCGGCTAATGGCAGCCCAGAGCCTTCCCCTTAGCCAGAACTATAAATAGCCCACTCCACGGTAAAAAGAAGAGAACATAAAAAAAAATTGGGGAAACTCTGTCCAATTGCTCTCTGAGCCTCTCCCAACATTCCTAAGCTCAATCAAAAAATCTTCAACCACTCATTCTCTCTACCCGAGCTCAATTTAACCACCAAAAAATAAGGTTTTTTCGCACCACTTCACCAAACTTCACAAAACTCCATATTAATCGTTCCACAAGCTTCCCCAGACAACAAAACCACTTTCCCAATCGAAAGCCTCATGTCTTGAGCACTCTAACCTAGTCCTAAACCAAGTCTAAATCACCCTTCGATCGAAATTATACATAGGCCTTACCACAACTCCAACCAACACTTCAAGGACATTTGTGGACTCAAGGCGAAGCTTAGAAACAAACCCAATCGAGGTCCACCTCTTGGGCTAAGGTATAACTCAGAAATCCTAAATTTTGTTTCAGTTTGGACCTTTGTGAAGAGAACTTGTATTTTGTGTGTATTTAGCCGTATAGATAGGTTCATGTCACTTAGATGAAGGTGTAGGAACAAACCCCATGTGATTTGGTTGAGAATCGAGTGAGATCTTAGAGTTAGAATTTGGACGGTTTTCAGTTTATGGTGATCGGGGATGATGAACAAATGCCGTGCATTTTCTTGAGTATCGAATGGACGAACCATATCGTGTCGGACAAGAAGATGTTACGCAAACCGCTGGCGAGCGTGGAAGCTAAGATGTAAAGCACAACGAATCAGCGAGTGATGCGTGGTTTTTTAAGAGGGAATATGTAATGCTTTCTACTAATCTTTTGCTTACAGGTGTCATTTAAATTCCACGATGAAAAGACACGGCTCATTATGTGTTTCATGTTTGTTGAATTTTTCGCTAACATTATTTTCATGCATGTTGAGTTATTTTTTTCCTTTTTTCTCTGTACTTTAAGAGTTATAAGAGAGTTTGTATTAGAAATAAGGTTTGAACACAGGTTCCGAGAGGTCAGATGGGTGGAACCATGTGACAGGAATCAGGAGTTGTTTGTTCGTGTCTTGTACCTTAATTCTATATGTCATTTATTATAGAAGTAGAACTTGACGGGTACTTATGTGGAGTCTGATCGACCTTTTCTTTTCTGTGATATGTCACTGAACCAGTGACATCGACCTTTTATTATTTCATATTTGGTTTGTTCGTTTTTTTTTCTAGCATGTTTGCATGTTTGGATTACAGATGATAGACGCTTGCACATTTTGCGAGGAGATGACTCACAAATAAAACCACATGTCATGTCCCCCACGACACCGTCCATAGTGTCCTAGGTTATTTTACATCATACTGAATACAAGTTATGCTTCACAACAACTGAACTCATGTGAATCACAATGTATGTATGTCCACCCAAGCATGTCATTTGAGAGTCATTCACATCTCGTTTATTTTACATTTCTCTTTTAAGTTATTTTGCCCAGTGAAGTAAAATATTTTATTTGCATAATCTTTGTGGAACTTCATCACTGTCCTATTAAATTGTTTAGCATTTCTTTCAGTATGACTATTAGCCTTTCATTGTTCCATTGTTTTAAGAAAACTATATGGTGTCACCCTACATATCATTTGCATTTTAATTATCTTGCTTTTATTGTAAGTAAAATTAGACTCTATTTATTTAATTACTATTGAATCGACAAATTAAAAAAATGTCAAATAAGATTATTTTTTGATCAGGCCGTTGACAACTTTCAGAGTAAATAATCAATTATTTTTATTTCTTGTCAAAATTGTAATTCAAACATTTAAATTCATAATAATATTATTATATATATATATATAATATGTGGATCAAATTTTAGTACTTTAAGTCTGCATAAATTTCTTAATTAATTACTTTAGTGAATGATAATTGTATAGAGTTATAAAAATCTAACAAATACAGCTAGAGAGATGATTATGTCGGAAACACGATGTTTTAATGTGCTTAGTCAAATTAAGTTATTAAGAAAATAATTATTTTTTTTTTTTTTACATACATACCACCTAAACTCTAATTATTATATATTTACCACCAAAATCTTTCATATCACTTAAAAAATACCACTTTTTGTACTTTTCAAAATTGAAATACATCTTTTCATGCATAGAAACTTGGCACTTATATAAACCTGAAGTTTAGCTGTTAGATATGTAAATACAAAACAATAGAGTGGTATATATGTAAATCTTCCTTTTATTTTTCATTTCCAAAAACAAACTAATATGTTTTATAAAATATTCAAAATAAATTTATAGGCATGCAGCAGGCCATACTAATCAGAATCCAGTGCTGCATTAATCAAGAGCTATTACACTTCTGTAACTGGAAGCAAGAACATAAAAAACTAAAATGAGTATCTCAAATGAAGATGAAATCTCAACTCCTGCTTTATTTGTTGTCTAATAAGAAAATTCTTAAATTTTGCTTCTATTAAATACCAAAACTAGATGGACCTAAAACAGAAATTATTGCTGCTGTAGGTTTTCAAAGTTTAGCAAGACTCATATTCCAAATAATCGACCTAGAAAACATGTTCCATTATATTCTACAAAACAGCAAAACAGCAAAGATCTGATGTAAATTAAAAGAGAAACCACTCTTCAACCTCAAGAATAATATCCACAAACCTCATCCAGTTTCTGTTACTGCAACTCCTTTCTGTTTCAAAATTGGAAATTAGCCATTGGCCACAATTTCATGAATAGCATCACTGATTGCTTCATCTTCAGATCTGACTGCAAGTTTCATTGCAACTTGTTTGGGCCCGTCTATCCCGAATGATAGTCTAACAAGTACTTTCACATTGCCAATGAATACACCAGAGAGCAAACAAGTGTGGGACCTTGCATTATTAGGCACGACTTCAGTTCCCTGCTATGCAAAGTATTGGTTAGATTTTTACTAGTTTTAAGAAGCTTGGTCGCATATGAAACTTGCATAGATTCTTCAAAAAAGTAAATTATTATAAGTTCTTCATAACTTCTAAACAAGGTTTCAAATATAGCTCAAGTTCCATTTGGATGAAGCAAATCATGAGTAGAGCTCTAATATTTCAAATCAACTCTAAGAGAAAAGGCAATGCATAAGTGAAAGAATTCACAGGTTAAAACAAGCTCTTTAAAACAAGGAAACCATGTAGTATCAAACATACTTCGCATGGCTGCATGCCAAGAATGTTAATGACAGCAGTGACGGCCTCGGACAAGCTTTCCCGCACCCCAAGTCCATACTCATCAATACGCTCAAAATCTGAACCCATGCTTTCCCAAGCATTTCTGAAGTTTAAGACAGGCACCCTCAACATATAGTCTGCTGCAACAACTTCAACATCTTCTAGCTGATATTCATCCTCAACACCTTCTTCTTCAGCTTCCCCGGTAGCTGAGTCTACCTGAAGCAAGTAGTAGTAATTCACGACAGTGTAAACATAGTGATCGCAAGATCCAAAAGGTACAAATAGAATGAAATTAGCGACATAAATAATTCCATGGGACTTTTATATCCTACTTAGTTGTTTCAATTGCTCTTTGGTACTCCCTCAAAAGACTTGGTCAAATTCATAAAGGGCCAATTTCATACCACTTTAAAACAATAGATCCAATCACTACATTCTAATTTCTGAATTCTAGAGATCAGAAGAATATAACTATACCATAGCTTTGAAAGCATCGTAAAAGCTAATTTTCTTCAACTATTGAGAAACTTCATAAATAGCTAGCCCTGACTACAATTTCTTAATGAGATATGAACTCTTGGACAAGCTGCAGCATGCACATGAAGTGAAACTGATGAACCAAACTAAAACAGACAAACGATAAGATTCAATATATCATTGTTCTTTTCAGATGGATGGCCAGCATACTAAATGACAAATCATATGCAACCAACAGTAACAAATGTATTAAATCGAATTGCAAAATAACCATTACAATTCCTCAAAAGGTGTTCTATCTCCTAAGTTTTGACAACAAAGAAATATAAATACCTCTTTCACTCGGAATTTCAAAAAGTTTGAAAATCTCCCAGTGGCTAGAAGACCATCTGGTTTCTTAAAAGCAACAAATGTCTGCCCTGGTGAATCATAAGGTAATGTTTTCAATGGCTTTGATGCAACTTCAACAAATTCTTCTGCTTCAGAAGCATCGACTATAACAGTGACCTGGCAAGCGAACCAAAAAAAAAAAAAGAAATTAAAAATTGAACCCAAAATTATAATCTAAATCCTCAAAGGATGATCATTATACATTTTCCAATAGCTGCTCAGGTATGGTATTTGTACAATTATATTGGAAAACAATATGCCCGCTGTAGATGTGTTTAACAACATTAACTGCATACTCAGTTTCAGCTTCTGTCAACTCTACAGGTGCGGAAGACTGAAAAAAGAAAGAAAAGAAAAAAAGACGTTCAGGCACCCAAATTAAAATTTGTTTTTCTAACTTTTTTCGGCACAGAATATGCTTCTCTTAGTTCATAACCTTAAACAACTGCCCAAAGCTTGAAAAGTCAGAAATCGATGAAAGCAGCTTTTCATAAGCATCAACAGGTGAGGTAGGGCCATTGGCAGAAACCCCAAAACTCGGAGGCTTTTTGCTTGGAGCTTTCTTCTCTGTAAGTGGCTGTAACTTGACTTCTTTTGGTACAGCAGATAGGTTGAAGGGCTCCTTGGAAGGCTCCTAAAAGTTAAATTAATAATAAAATAATTAAACAAGTATCCAACTTGACTACTGATGTAACAATTCCAAGACAACCTAGGTTGAAGAGCACATACATAGCTCCGCAAACTTATTTCCAAGTTCACAAGTGGCACATCCAATGCACCAAAGAGAAATTCTTTCACTCCTTTATCAGCTTCACTAACTGAACCATCCCACCCAAGCATATTTAGATAAAGTGTTGCGCGGTCACGAACCTGGAAGAAGCATAATATGGTAGAGTAAAAATTTCCATCTTAAATCTGCAATATGTAACTAAAACCTAAGGCATCGAAATTCAAATTAATCAAATTCGTAATCACAGAAAAATGACTTCAAGAAAGTTGGGGAGACATATCCTTCAGGCATGCCAAAGCCTAGTGAAGAAAAATTCCAAGTGACCAGAGTTACCAACCAAGCATAGTCGTTGGAAGGCATCAAAACAAAGTGGACCTAAAACTATAAAAAGCTTTGTTGTTTTCCTTGCCACAAAAAATTAATAATAATAAAATAAAAATTCAACAGACCATATCACTATAGGAGATGAAGAAAATAATATATCCTTCATAGTTCAGTGTCCGCACATGGTACTCGTCATCTGAGAGGATAATGTAGCTACAATTTTCAAGATTTAGGACACCCTTAAACTGGGTGCAGGGTATACAACAAGGAATCATAATATTCATTATTGCTGCAATCCTGACCTCCTCCACGCCGTTCTTAGGTATCATGAATATTGATTTTTCATTATTGCTCCACCCCCAGATCAAGCACCCCACAGCACGCTCTTCACATCCTTAAATGGGTTTCTTTGGTTGCTTAAAATGATAATTGGTCGCTCCAATGTACTAATCAGATGCTTTACTATACACTTCAGAATAAAACAACATGGAAAGAACTCAAACGTTTCAAAGTAAGTTTACTTGCCTCATCGTCACTATCAAATAGGCAACGTCTCAAAAGAACAAAGATGCGAGGCTGCAAAGAAATATATCAGCAAATAATTATGTGAAGAATATTACTTCAGGACAAAAAATAGTTTAAAATTTTGAATCACCTTCAACGATTCAACCATGGAGCCAAATTTTGCCAAGGTACTCACAGCAGCAGCTCTAACAGTTGCATTCTCAAGGATCACACGATTATAAATGTACCTTATGTACTTACTCGGGTCTGACGTCTTCACCCCTTCATTTCCCAAAAAGTGTAGTACCTACATGGATCAGATGAATTAAAGTAGTATCGATTATCAGTACAAATTACGAAACTACTAATAGAATAATTAAGAAAACATTATTTGAGCAGCATTACTGTTGAAACAATAACAATACTGCTGCACATTGCTTAAAATAGGTATTATAACAAATAAATGATGCAATAACCCAGACTATGATGATGGAAAAGCTTTGATAAAGATGCATTCTTTCTTCTGAAACATTACATCTAGCCATCTTATTTTCTACCACCCATCCAATCCTACAAATACACACATCAAGCTTGTAGTTTGACCACCCTCTTTTTCCTCAAAAACATCTCAAGTCAAAACTTCTCAATCAAATGGGCCTGGCCCAGCACTTTGAAGAGTGAAGTCTATCAGCTAAAAGAATATAGTGATTCTAAAAGAAAATGCAGTTTATATGAACACTTTGACATTGTAAAACTTGAAAAAAATTGGACCCTTGTAAGAATAAAATGCATCTATTAGTACCAATAAAATCACAATTTATGCAGCTCAATCAGTATATGTTATAGAAGAATTAAGCAACTCACTAGGAAATAGATACCTGAGTTGATAGATAAGTGAATTCGCAATCTTCTATAAACTCGCAGAGTTGAAACAGGCCAGTTTCTTTAGCATCTGGTATATCTCTAATGAGAATGACAATGGAATCAATTATAGCTTTTTTGTACTCAAAGCCCCCTTCTTCTCTAAGAATATTGCTTAAGAAATTCATCCTGAAAAATACCAAGAAAGGAAATCAATTCATTGAAAAAAAAGGAACGTTTAAAAGGATATATCTCAAAAAATATTCCAGGAATAATGAATTTGCATACAGTGACCGATGCTTGAGAGGAAACTTTAAGCACAGAGATCTTATAGCTTCCACAACAACAATCTTGAACTCATCCGCAATGTCTGAGATAAAATTTGAAATTTGTTTCATCAAGCGGTCTACACTAGATTCATTACCCGTCTTCAAAAGGGTGGTAATAGCAAGTGTAGCAATACTCCGGTTCTGATCAGAGATTAAGCTTTCCATATCAATGTTGCAATTTGTAACAGCCAAAGGATATTTCATCGCAACCTACAATTTGGCACACAAGGGTCAGCAAATTTATTGACTGGGATACTATTCTAAGTAGCACATATGCAAAGGAAAATGAATGCAATAGTCGAAAATGAATGAGACATGGACAGTACTAAATAATACATGTATTCAGACAATCAAAAATAGATAATGATACATTTATCAAAGTACACAATAGCAAATAGTCGATAAAAAAACAATCAATAGAAGTACAAAGTTATCAACATGTGCATTATTGAAAAGCAGCAACCCTGCCACTCTCCAATTATCCGTAAGCACTCACAAAAGGTACCAACAGGCTGAGCACATCATAGACCCAAATGCTGACTTTATATCATAAATCCCAACAACATATAATATAAAAATCCACATATTTGTCATAGAACATTTCATATTCTGCATCAATACTTTCACATTTATTTTTTGAGCATAAAACTATGGTTTTTAAGGTATTTCAGTTTTTTCCCCCGTATCTCCTGCTCTGTGAATTTCCTTTTCCTTGCATTAGCAAATTTAACAGCTAAAGATACGGTGAAAGAAAAATGTTGCATAATTCTGGTAAAACTCTCAAACACATAACGAAATTCAACAAAAAACAATAGACAAAATCAGGGAACAGGAAATGATTGGATGGATTAAAAGTTACTTGGAGCAATAATAAAAGCATGACTATCCCAAGAATGGCACGACAAAAAGCATGCAAACAGGAAAACTTCATAAATGCAACCATGAACAAAGAAAAATGCATGTAGATACAAATGGCAGATTGACTCATGCTTGGAGGAAACTATCATATATGTAAGCAGATAAATATAGAAAAATGAATTCACACAAATAAATATTAGGCATGCCTAATGACGAGAACATTGCTATGAGCATACAGATTAATACTTGCATGACATGCTCGGCATTGATCTGATTCAATCAAAAGCTTAGGATTAAAACTCTACATACTAAATACCAGACTATGCGATCAATGGCTGACTTCAAAACTTATAATTGTTTCTTTAAAGAGAAACAAGATTAGTGGATAACATTTTAAACTGCACTGAATTATTCAATTGCTCAAACATATCCCTTCTATGAACAAGAACTAGCAAAAATGCAATTGGACTAGTGTCGGGACTTTGGTTATACAATATAGCCAACCGAAGTAAATTAAGGTTGACAAAATGCAGCAATCATTTTGAGAAAAACATCGAAAATGTAACATGCAAGTAAATTATCAAATGGGAAGCAAGCCATGTTCCCAGAAATACATGTTATCCACTAAGCAATTCATTGTAGATAACAAGCATTGGTTGATAAGATACTAAAGACTTGAAATGACCTTATTTAGCGTACGAACAGCAGCAAAACGGAGAACTGGTTTGGATGAACTCAAAAATAATTGTAATACAGTAATTGCGGGAGTGAGCTCCCTGTTTGTGACACCGCTGAACTCCGTAATGGCTCTTGCTGCTTCAATTATCACCATATCAGCTTTATGCCTTAAACAAGCTTCAAGATAATCAGATAAAGGCCGTTCTCCTGTTTGACTATTTGCACTTGAGTCTCGAATCACCTGACAAGTTGACCTTTAGTGTCTAATTTATTAGTCAAACTCACCATTAAAATTCAAAGAAATACCTGGCTTGTGTATCGAATCAGAAGGCATTGAGCTAAAGGTGAGCGAACTGATCCTTTTGTCAAGCTGGTAACCAGTTTGCTTATAGCCAAACGATCATTTTGCCTAATCTGCATATAAAACCTATCGGTATTGAATTATCAACCATTGTCATTTAACAGGGATATAATGATTATTTCAGGATGCAAATAGAAAAATGAATATTGACGAACGCATCTTACTTGAGAGCCAGGAAAAGTTAACAATTAATATTTGTTATCAGATGTAAAATAGCAAGAAACATTTTTGAACACGCATCATGCACATATAATCTACAGAGCTTAAAGGAAAAAAAAATGGGGCTACAAAGCTAAATAAAATTACAATCAGTATATAAATATTGCAAAAGACGGGGAATTAAACAAGCACCGGATATCGCAATGCATAAGTATTACGCTGGTCCTCTCTTAAAGTATTAAATAAATTTAGACATGTTTCTTATTTTATAATCAATTCAAACAAAGTTTATTATTGTATAAATTAATTTCATATTTATTTAGTTTTTGTAATTATGATTTTTTTTAAAGAAATAATATCACAATTTTGATTTCATGTCATATCATGTTAGTATGTCAGATCTTTGAATACTATGTTTGTGAAAACGGTTTTTCTCGTTTAAAAAGCAAATCACTAAGAGTTCCATAAAATGCTCATTTACTAAAGATTTAATAATTTTTCGATAACTTATTCTATTTATTATGTCAATTTATTATATTTTATGATCAAAAGCTATTCATAATATTGTAAGAATAAATATGAAAAAACTGTTGAGCTAAGAACTAAACAAATAGATTAAAAATATAATTTGTGTTTATTAAAATTTCATGATAAAATATTAAATAAATATTAGATAGATAATTTTTTTTTAAAAAAATTATTATCTAAATAATATTCGATAATACATTGTACCCAAAAAAAAAAAAACTAAAAGTTTTAAGCTTATTGTTCATACAATATAAGAAATAATCCTAAGTGAATTATTTGCAAAAAAATTATGAATTATTAATAATAAGGCTAATTGTTTAAATGATAAACATCTTATATATAGTTAGCTAAGCTCAATTAAAGCTTGACTACAACTCTTAACTAGATAAAAAAATTTAATAAATAAGCTTGAATAAGATTTAAAAACTAAGTTAGTGTTCTAGCTTTTTGAGCATTACTTGAACTCCATAAGAAAATAAATGAATGAGTTTGAATAAACATAATACTTGGATTCAGTTAAATCATTAATAGCCCAAGCTATCTTTTTTGCTTAGCAACTCAATAAGTAAATGTGCGTGTACCTTTCATATTTACATATAAGTATGCCAAAATGTTCTTATTTTTATTTGAATGCGCCCACAAGCATACCTATGGTTGAATGCATTAAAACATATATGAATCCTATGTCCTTGGAACATTTGATATTCCTATGTCATGTTTTAAAATATCCCCGCATTCAATAATGTGTCCACTTCCTAAGTTCTAACAAGGCTTCAAGAAACCTCTACATTTTCTCTCGCATGTTTGTTAACTAAGTTTGCATTTATGATCGAAACTATAAATTTAAGTTTCTGGAAGATGTGCATTACTTGAGCCAAGCACGTGTCAAACAATTTCAGTAAAAAGTGATCATTATGCCTCATTTTTTCATTACATAATTTGAAAATCTGAAAGTACCCACTAAATTAGTCAAACCTGGTGAAGTAGAGCCAATGCATGAAACTGTACAAGGGCAGCCCTTGATTGGATAGCTTCCTGAACCTCATTGCTCCACCTTTTCACAATTTCGGGATTCGTCTGTCCACATTGAGTAGGAGTTCATAAGTTGATTCAGTTGCGTCACTTACCATTCATTAACAGTGTACAGGTGACGATACCTGAAGCAAATGAATACCACTGACAAGAGCAGCACTGGCAACAACTGGATTCTTGTCGACAATTGCTTGCTTCAAATACCTCTCAATTTGAGTTAGAAGAGTGCCATCAGTAATTCTACAAAGAACCCTTATTGCATTAGCTCTATACATGTCAGTCTTGCTATTCATGTCCTTCATCAACGAACTAGTGACAATAATAACCTTCAATAAGTAAGAAAAAAAAAGTTAAGAAGGCATTGAATGAAAGGAGCTAACGTTTTAAGGAAGCATGCCACTGCCTAACCTCGTCAGCAGATGGTGAAATTTCTTTAATCATCAGATAAACCATTCTTCTCAAACCAGTATCCTTAGACTGAAACAGTTTTGTCACTGCAAAGAATACCTCCGTTGCTTCAATCTGCAGTGTTAAGATAAAATAAGAAGGCCAAGTGTAAATATGTGTCAACTGAATGCAACTTGAACAATGAAAAACAAAAGAAGTGTAATACAAATGTTGAATTAAAGTTGCAATAAACTATTAAACAAAGTGAGCCAGATCATAATTTGGATAAGTTGTAAATTACAAAAAGTTACCTTTGTAAAGTTTTCTCCCTGGTTCAGCAAGTATAAGAGCTTTGTGATAACCTACAAGTTGCACAAGAAAACTCGTCAGAGAAGCTATCCTCTTGAGCTGTGATTCTGCAGCATCAAATCTCATATCAATATAAGGAAAAAAAAAATCACTCATAGCCAAAAGATAAACCTGAGAGCATCTTCTCGCATCAAGTTGAGGGTCATTGAATACCCTGGCCTCCTGTAACACTGCTCCTTTCTCGATCCCCATGAATGGAGAATACTCTGCAGCATAAGAGATGGAAACAACATGATGTTAATAATTGAGTCCGACCATCAGACCGAGATCCGACTTCCCAAATGCAGACATTGCACGAAAATTTCTCACGCGGTGCCCTATCTAGGCTAGTCCAGCATCAAATCCAGTAAAGGAATTACATGAAACCAGTGATCTAGATCCATCGGCAGCCATCAAATCCCAACAACCCAGATCCAACATGGAAACGGATAGTTATTAAGCATCTAACCCCCGAATTGGGAAAACCCCGATGCATCGAACCGACGAAAAAACAAGGGGGTAAACATTTACCAGTTGCAGATCCGCGTATGAAAACGATCGAAAAAGAGAAAGATCCTTGGGGAGAAATAGAGATTGCTAAGGCTGTGAACTGACCTTCGTCTTCTTGGTCGTCATCCTTCTTCACGAGAGGCTGCGCCATGCTTGAATTTGATGACTTGATGGCGGAGAGGCCCGCGATCTGTAAAGATGAAGCGGAGAAAGGGAAACTATAAAACGCGAAGGAAGTAGGAATTATTAAGGAACGGGATCCTGATTTTCCATTGGCTATATTTTTAACAATTGTACAAATACTAAATTACAAAATGCTCATTTAAAGGCTTAGGGCGGCGTCGCCCCAAAATATGGTCCTCAAATTTTTTCTTAGGGTCTGTTTGATAAAAGCTTGGCAGCAGAGGTTTGAATTTTGATAAAACGTGAGTTCGCCGGTTCTGCCCTAAAGTAAGATCCCGGCTCGACTCCTCTCACTCAATTGGCAAATGTTTGTTTGCCTTTGGAGGTTACTTTGCTCTACCTATCCTCTTTGTTCTTCGGCATTGCTTGGTTCCTTTGCTCCCCTTGGCCCGCGGTATTCTTTGTCATTGTCTATTATGACATTTTGATTTTGTGACGGTTTTAGCTTCTCTAAGCTCTATTCGGCCGATGATTTTCGGGTGATTGTATACTGCTATTGGATTTTGCTATTTCCAAAATTTTGGTTTTAGCAAGTTTTGTTATTTTGCATTGGTATTGGATTTTCTTTATTTATGATGGGGTGACAGCCTTTTCTGTCAACTTGGTAATGATATTACTTGTAATGCGTTGATGTTGGTTGCTGTGATGATGATTCAATTAGTTGAGAAGGCGGTGTAGGATTTTGGCGGTTGTTTGATTTTGATTTTTTGTGATTTTCTTTGTTGGGTGATGTGGTGATGGCTTGTTCTGTGAATTTGGTGAAAGAATTGCTCGTGTTGTGACGTTGGATTTTGTGATTTTGTTAAGAACAATATTGATGTTGTGATTTGTTGGTTACTATGATGATTACTGGTGGGTTGGCTGAATTTTGTGGTGGTGGATTGCTGGTGGCAATTAATGTCATGATGAAAAAGATTCATGGTGGTGGGTTGGTCGAATATCGTTGTTGGTTGGTTGATGGTATGGTGTGGAGTGGTGGAGTGTGGTTGTGTGTTGTGTGGAGTTGGGGAGTTGTTGGTTGTGTATTTGTGTGGTTGTGTGTGAGGTGTGAAAGTGTGCAAGTGTTGGTGTGGTTGCGCGGTTGTGTGAAGGTTATGGAGCTGTGTGGTGTGGAGTTTTGAGTCGTGGTTGTGTGTGGTGTGGAGTTGTGGGGTGTGCTTGTGTGTGGTTTTGTGTTGTATAAAGTTGTGAAGTAATTGGTTGTGTATTTGTGTGGTTGTGTGTTGTGTGGAGGTTGTGTTATTGTGTGGTTGTGTTAGTGTGGAGTTGTGGGGTGTGGTTGTGGAGCTGTGTGTGGAGTTATGGAGCTGTGTGGTGTGGAGTGTGGGATGTGGCTATGTGTGGTTGTGTGGTGTGGAGTTGTGGGGTGTCTCTTAGTTCAAACCCTTCTTCTCTGTCTCAGATCTCACGCAATCTATCTCGATTTCACATTTTTTTTTAAGAGAAATACTTAGGGTAGAATAAATTATGTTGCAAAAAGGTTTTCAGAATCTAATGTCTAATATAAAAATAAAAGATTTAAGGTTTTCAAAACTTTAATAGTGTCGTCGAAGGAGAGAGATTAGAGACAGAAAAGTTAAAGGAGTGCATCAGTCCAAGCCAACCAAATTGAAGAAGTCGACTCAAAGGAAGACTTAATCCCTCGATATCTACAATCATATTGAGAACGTTATAAGTTCGCCATTTATCTTCAAGGGCTAACGGTCTCACTAGATCAGCCAATTAGCAACGCCGACCGAGCCCAGCCGACGAAGTACATCCTACCTTTCCGAAGCCAATCAAGCTTAGCTGGTTGAGCCAGAGGATAGAAAAGAATAGCCGAGCGATAGGTTTATATATGTAAAATACCAAAAATACCCTTTACAACCCCCCATTAAAACAGTGGCAAAAATATAACGCCACCATGTTGTACCACTTCTTTATAAAATAAAGGGATCATTTTATGAATAAAGAAGGATTGGCACTATTGACAAGTGTTGGTGTGGTTGCGCGGTTGTGTGAAGGTTATGGAGCTGTGTGGTGTGGAGTTTTGAGTCGTGGTTGTGTGTGGTGTGGAGTTGTGGGGTGTGCTTGTGTGTGGTTTTGTGTTGTATAAAGTTGTGAAGTAATTGGTTGTGTATTTGTGTGGTTGTGTGTTGTGTGGAGGTTGTGTTATTGTGTGGTTGTGTTGGTGTGGAGTTGTGGGGTGTGGTTGTGGAGCTGTGTGTGGAGTTATGGAGCTGTGTGGTGTGGAGTGTGGGATGTGGCTATGTGTGGTTGTGTGGTGTGGAGTTGTGGGGTGTGATTGTGTATTGTGTGGAGTGGTGGAGTTGTTGATTGTGTGGTTATTTGATTTTGTGTGGGGGTGTGGAGGGGTGCAAATGTTGTTGTGAGGTTGTGTGTGGTTGTGTGTCGTGTAGAAGTTGTGTGGTTGTGTTAGTGTGGTTGTAGATTTTTTGTTCAAAAATATCAAATATATCGGTATGATAATTTTGTTGCAGACAACATTACTACATAGAGGCAGAATGATTATTTGTCCAGAAACAATTGCAGCACAACTATTTTCAAACTGCAAAAAACAAACAACTAGTCAGCTTATCCGCAACAACTTTCTGTGGCAGCTGTTGCACAACAAATTATTAATAAACTGCAGCTGCACCAAACAAACCCTTTAACTAAAGTCCGGATTTTTACATACATAGCACCCAAAATATTACTATTTATATATCCCACATCCAAAACTTAGATACTGATTTATTTATGATTTGATAGTGGAGAATCGCAACTCTAATTCGTCTAATACAAACATAAGATTGTGGCCATTCTATCAATAAAAAAACTTAAAGACCTCTATAATGAAAGATTCTACCAGCTAACGCATTTTTTAGCTAAAGACACAGAATCTAATGTCTAATATAAAAATAAAAGATTTAAGGTTTTCAAAACTTTAATAGTGTCGTCGAAGGAGAGAGATTAGAGACAGAAAAGTTAAAGGAGTGCATCAGTCCAAGCCAACCAAATTGAAGAAGTCGACTCAAAGGAAGACTTAATCCCTCGATATCTACAATCATATTGAGAACGTTATAAGTTCGCCATTTATCTTCAAGGGCTAACGGTCTCACTAGATCAGCCAATTAGCAACGCCGACCGAGCCCAGCCGACGAAGTACATCCTACCTTTCCGAAGCCAATCAAGCTTAGCTGGTTGAGCCAGAGAATAGAAAAGAATAGCCGAGCGATATGTTTTTATATGTAAAATACCAAAAATACCCTTTACAACCCCCCATTAAAACAGTGGCAAAAATATAACGTCATCATGTTGTACCACTTCTTTATAAAATAAAGGGATCATTTTATGAATAAAGAAGAATTGGCACTATTGACAAGACATACTATTGTTAATTATTGATCACTTCTCTCTCTCTCTCTTTTCTTACGTTTTATTTCTTTCGTGTGACACCTTGACAAATCATGATTCAACATATAGATTCACTCAATTGATTGTAATGTCATATTGCTTCCTCTACTGATTTATTTATGATTTGATAGTGGAGAATCACAACTCTAATTCGTCTAATACAAACATAAGATTGTGGCCATTCTATCAATAAAAAAACTTAAAGACCTCTATAATGAAAGATTCTACTAGCTAACGCATTTTTTAGCTAAGCCATACAATAACAAGACAGAAGGATTTAGGTTTGAGAACATAACATTTTAGTCCACGATTATGAGATCTTGACATCTCTACTCGACTGCCCTTCACAAGATGCCATAACCAATGTAAAGCATCAATGCAATGATTTAGTAATCACCAGGAACATCCATTGCAGAGAAATGAAAGATGATGCGCAGAAGACAATATCCGGTTTCAATTCTTCTGGAGATATGAAGCCAAATCATTTTCCCATTGCAGAGAAATGAAAGATGATGCGCAGAAGACGATATCCGATTTCAATTCTTCTGGAGATATGAAGCCAAATCATTTTCCTTATGGGACTCAACCCATACAGCTCCTTGTTTCTCATACCTTTCAACCAGATTGCTGGCCTAATTATCGACAACAATTGGGTTTTATTTTCATTCTGCACATGAACTCGAATTGCCTCAATGCTTGGGGATTCCACTTGCCTTTGAAAGTGCATAGGTCTGAAATATTCTTTCTTTATTTTTTTTTAAATTATTATTTTTACATACTAACCAAAAAATATATTAAGAATTCATTATATAAATTTATATCTGGGGTTTTAAACGAACCTCTGAACTCGGCTTGATTAGCACTCTATTAATTTGTTCAGGTTAGTTAAAAAATACATTTAAATAATTTTTTTAAGACCTCTAATGTTAAATCAATCGGATTTAGATTTGGTTCAAATCATATTTTTATGTTCACGAATAAGCTTAACAAGTAAGTTATTAAATGTTCTATAATAAGTTTGATGATATTGTATGTTATATATGATATATTATTTAAATAAAACTTGATTAATTATAATTTAATTGACTATACATTTAATAGTGATGTGTTACAATTTAAAATTAATATGCATAATAGTTTAATACAATTTTTCTTATTTTTTAATTCAATAAAATAATTTTTTGGTGTTTATTCATATTATTTGATTGAAAGAAAGCTTCTAATTTATTATTATCTTACATAATTGGTGTAAATTAGTTGAATAGTAATTTAAAATGTATTCAATTGATTATTTATTTAGATTTATAAAATTAACAAATAATTTTATATGAAAAGTCAAATACTCATTCAAATTTTTTACTTATATGTTTATGTGTTGAAATATTTAAACAACTAATGTAAGAAAAAAATTCTAGTACAAGTCAAATGAGATTTTTAACAATCTTAGTCAAGTATGAACATTATTGTGTGCTGGAAGATTCACGGCGATATAATGATAATTTAATGTCTCAACATTCTATGAAAATTCTTCACATACACAAAAAAGCGAAATTAACAAGAGAAAATATGACTTTTTACATGGAAAACCCGATAAGAGAAAAAATCAAGGGGGTCATCCCAATCAAAATGATCCACTATAAATTTACAAGTATAAAAATAGACTTTTATCTCACAACCGAAAAATAGTTACAATGATACACCAATCATAATGTTTGTTTGTACACTGTATACAGAAATTTACTTTACATTCTTAATATGGTGGATAAGAGCAGTTGCCATCGGGAGTTATCGTCGAGTCTTTAAGACAATGTGTTCGGGGTACATCATTGCATAATATTTAAAACACTATATTATTTAGTATGCAGAGACTTCGCGACTCAATAGAGTACTTCATTACTAGACAATGTGCGTTGTTACTTCACATGGTACTTTTATTACTTCGCATGATACTTCATCACTCCACATGGTACCTTGTTACTCCGCATAGTTCAAAGACGACGGAGG